ACTCGACTCCCTCTTATGATATTTATACTAGTGACAGTTAACACCGGTTTAAGGAATCTTACACTAAAATGAAGCAATTAGAATTGCTGATATATTTAGCATGATTCTTTCAACAGCACATCAATCCATTAATCATTAAAACAAAACAATCAATAGAGGTGATACATACTTCTTTCATTCTTTGAAGATATTATTACTACTGCTGATGATAACCATTAGTTATTATTATTACCTAGAATCTTACAGCACAATATATACACAGATGTGAACTAAAAGGAACATTGCTCCTTCTCCATAATCATAAATATGTTGATGTTCACCTTTTCAAAGTTTGTTTCACAGCGATATCTTTTCCTGTTACAACATCTTTTCTAAAATGTTGCTTCTATCCAAGGGTTGTGCAAGAGTGTGATGACAAATATACATATATATATATATATATAGCAATACTTTCTTTCAGGAATTTAAATTTATACTTTTGCAAAAGGGCACAACCCAAAATCAAATTAAGTACCCAGGCAAATGATAACTTCCTGTATGATCACACTGATTTAACAATATACATACTTTTGTAAAATGCAAACTATGGATTAAACAGAAAATGGTATAGTTACAATATAATTTGATATGGTAATAAAGATACAATAATTATACAACATATGCCAGGTGATAAGAGTTCTGTACCGGTAGTCAATTTCTAACCCCTTATCTGATTCCAAACTTCGAAACCTGTACCCAAGAATATTACCTACAACCCTAACTCTAAGCGTGAGCTGTAACCCAATCACAACCAAAGTTTTAAATCTACAAAATTAATCAAATCTGAAAATCATGCAAAAAAATATGGGATGAAGCATTCATTCCATTTTTAAAAACCTGAGGCTGGTGAATAATATTTCCATCGCATAAAGAAAACATCTTGACAGCTTAATTGTTATAATTCAGTTCACACATACGATTACATTTCTAATATACGGTATTTGCATTACATGAAGAGTTTATTAATGCCTGCAACATTGAATTACAAATATATTGAGAAAACTCCCATTTGACAAGGCTACTAGCAACTGCATGTGGACTAGCCAAACTCATACATATATCACTTAGTTGCTTTGTTATCAAATCTGACATTATTTTCTGGATATGTATGGTACAGCAGAAAATACAGAAAACTATCAGGAAACATAACAAGTAAAAAGTTCAAGCCCATTTCACATTTGATAATGTGATCACTTCAGAGCTTTCATACTTCTAAATCTAATACTAAGACTTAAAGTAGACCTATGTAACATTCTAACTATAACGCTAAATGGCTAAACATTTTTACAACAACACAAACAACTAACCTACTTCTCAATCATTACTAATATTTAGTGTTATGTATTCACCTGTGTTAATTCTCCAATTTCTTGTTTCCTCCGATTTTACACACAAAAATTTGAAAATTTTTGCTTTTATAATAACTCCTCAGCTTAACATTTGAGAGCTGAAAGAAGGTTGTTAAGCCTTTCTATTAAAATCTAATATAAACCTTACCTACCATATTTTGAACAAGTGACCAAAGACAACACAATATTTGGCTGTCAAAACATGAAGACACAAAGCCTGTGACTAATAGTGTGTTTATATATATATACAATGTTGTTTCTATTTTCTTACATGTTTTCACCTCAAAAAAAGTATCATATCCAATGAATTTTCCACTTTGCCTTTCACAAAAAAGTATGGCATGAGAGCATAAAACTATATCCATGAATAATTTGTATGTTTGATCGTTCTGTCCTTCTACTTATTTTATTTTATGGGAAGGAAGGAGGATAAGCATAGGGAGAGATAAACTATACCAAAACCAATAAATGTAATAAGCACAGGCATTTATTTACAAATTACCTAGATAGATTTCTTATTAGAATACACAATTTTATGTATGGTACACATTTAAATCAAAAGGTAAAACCTTTCTGATATTTAGCAACAACAAAATCTTAAATCCTAAAAAATACAAAAAATAATAAATTCACAATGATTAAAAAAGAAAGGGAACAATACGAATCCTTTTACTTTATGCTTTACTAATAATGATTTATTAAGAATTAATAAATTTTACAAATGCTTGTGTTTACTTTTTAAATTTTTTAGTGTTTTTTTATTTATTTTTATTACGGCTTTTGTATAGAAAAGTTTTCCTCTTTTTTTTTTTGTAATTTTTTTTCTTCATTTATTTAATTGTTTTATTAACTTTGATAATGCACCCATAATTAATGTAGCAAGGATGGTAAAAGATGTATATTTACAATGATATAATGCCCATAAAATACATATTTCAGATATGCTTTTGATATAAGTATATCTTAGACAATAACAAGGATACAGTTGGAATGACAAACAGTAAATTAAATCCTATACAGATTGTCCCTGAAAATAGGAAACCCAAGTTTACGGGTGAGTCAAAATTATTTATGGTAAACGTATACATGATTGGCAAGCTCATTTTCTCTTCATTTACATGACATCAAAAACATCATCAATACCTCAGACATGACCAATTTCAGACAGCATAAAGTGGCAGAGTCAGAAAACCCAATTGTAATTGTAAAGTGAATGGCTGCTTCTTTTGGTTCACTTTGATCTTGAAGAAATATGACATGATTGGAAAAATGTTTCAATACTTTTTTTTTAAATACACATTATTTCAAAGCTCATATTTTCTCGTTGCTATTAGACCATAATAATGATGGAAGGATCCCCCATGACTGAATAAGAAACATAATCTGCAACTGATCAGGCACCTCAAGATTTTGTTGTTGGTAATGAATTAGGCAGCTGAACAAATGTTGACGTGCCTTACCATTAACAAATTGTGCCTGCTCACTTCATGCATGATCTTTCCATAATAATTATGGCATCATATGAAAAGTTAGGATATGAGCTTTTAAATGATGTATATTTCCAAAAAAATGACCATCCCAAATCATTTCCTTTTCTCTAAAAACCCTTATAAACTAAACGAAACAGCAATTTACTTAGTCTGGACAATTAGGTTGCTGACAACGCCACTTAACACTGTCTGCAATTGGTCATGCATGATTATTGATCATATTTTTGATGTCATATAAAAGAAGAGAAATCAAGCTTTTCAATGATGTATACACTAATAAAAACACAATTTGGAATTATTGAGTAATTTACCACTAAATTTTTGGTTTCCTTTTTTAGGGACACCCTATATAATATAGAGTCATGAAGAAAGAAGTGTCTTTATCCTCTGGATTAAATTTACCAAAGTTCCTCTAGAACTTAATTCCACAACTCATTTTACATATCATCAAAGTTCTTTACAATAATATATGACACTTGGGTACAAGAAAAGAAAATCACTCTTATGTGTGCGTTCAACAAAAGATGGCACAATTGAAAATACATTAAAGCAGTGGTAGTGATGTCGGTTACATACCCTACCTTTAAATTAAAACAAGACCTTGCAAAATTAACTATTACAAAAATATATAACATGAACAATTCTTTCTTCATCAATGACAGGCCATAAATATTCTAAGCATAACACATTTTTGGATCAGAAGAAAGCTGGCCATAACTATGTTTGGGTCAGCATTGCTGAGAATGAACTACCTTTAAGCCTGGTTTAAAACTCTGTTTTAAACCAAGCTTAATGTGTTACTTACTAATGTGTTACGATATATTACAGACTTTCTTAACTACTGGTAAATGAATAAACAAAAATTCTGATATCATGAAATGAATTTCATAAATTGACTTCTTCATTAAGTTCAAAAGAGAATTACAATCATTTGTATAGAACAGAGAGGGACAATGTTAGGTGCTCTATGAATCAAAAGACATTGTGAGCTAGGTTAGTACACTCTATCTGGGCAGAGAAATTTACATTCTAACTTTGAAATCTGAAATAAGAGATATACCCAAGTTACAATATAACAATGCTCTTAAAAAGTACCGAGATATGTTTAATAATTAGTGGCTTTCACCCGAACTTGTTTGATCTTAAAATCAAATTATTTAGATGTCCTTGCTTTTTTACTCTTAATTGTAACTTAACCTTTTTGAGTCCTAATTCATAATCTACCCTCTTTCTTTTATCGATACAATGAGTCCCAAATTAAGACATTATGATAAAATAATAAGCTACCGGTACTGTAAAACCAGAAACTTTTGCAACTAATCGATGAAAGCTGTTTTATTTCCATACCGATAAACTTTTGAAAATTGCAAAAATTCAGTGTTATAATTCAATTATTTTGCAAGAATGTAACTTTTGTGAATCTTGATTAGTTTCAAAATTTGCAAGCAGTTTCAATTTTACAGTAGTATTGCTATGTCCTTCCACCTTTAACCATTTTTAACCCCAAGTCTATTCAAATCACTAATCCTACAGTTAGGTACTGTTCCCTATTAAAACATTTTTTAAATGAGATTAAACAATATTCTTCCAGCATAACCATTGATGGAGGAGATATAAGAGCACTATTCTAAAAAAAGACAATCCACAATCTATGATTGAACTAAAACAAATACTGCCAAAGTTTTTTGGTTTCCAATGGAAGACTAATGATAATCATAAAGGTAGCTAAAAGAATAAATCATTTAAAGTTGATAATTGTACGTAATTCAATGCAATGCTGCTTTTTCAGAACGTTATCAATAGTCATCTCAAAACAAAACAAAAAATTCTTTCTTGGCATCAGAATATTATTCATGATAAGAAGAATAATAATAATATTGGACATCACATCGCACATATCCACCTCGCAAAGTGCTCAATGCCCCCCAATATTATCCCAGCTCTGCTAGGCTATTGATTTTGGTGCTCACAGCCTTCAAGGTATGCCGTCCTGACTCCTACCTCTACCTATATCACACCTGGGTGGAGAGTGGCAAATGTCGATGAATGTCTTGCCAAAGTACATTAGTGCCGTGGCGGGACTAGTCGGACAACGTATCTACTAGACCTCGACATCTCTATATATGGGTTTTAGTAATTTAAAATAAAAAGAATGAATTTTTTAGCCTGAGCCTCATATCCCTTCTTTCTTAAAGTAAGCTCTGAATGATAATAACTGCTGAAATGAAATAACAAATATAATCAAGTTTAAATCTCAAAAAGTGACTTATTTGATTTATTTCCGGTATTTTATAACTTAAATATAACTAACAACAGTCAATGGAAAACCTATGCTGATCAAAGACACTTCTTTTTGCTCTCACATAAATCAATGTTGATAAATGATTTGAAAAAAGTCTATTTTCTGTTTGAAATTTAGTGCTTAAATAACAATTTCAAAGTCAATAAAATATTGTTGGATTTTTTTCTAACATAAGATGTACACGATAATGCAAATCATCCACCATAAATCTGATAAACATCCTTTAGACTATGGGTTTATCATACTACATGCGCATAGACATCCCTGTTGTCTACAAATACATGTAACAGGCAGTGCAATATGGGCTACTTATCATGCCTCTTAGCTATGAATAAGTTTGTGATCACACCTTGCGACTATAGTCTTGTCCCATGATGGCTGTGGTCCTACAAGTTGCATTCTATCTATGGAGTTTCCAACTGGTACATCTCTATTTTAACAAACTCAAGGAAATAGTTCAGCAGTTTGCAGGTCTATCACTTTGTAGACTAGCGCCTTGATTTCTTTTGCACTGCAGTGCTTTGCTATCATCTGTACCATACTCCTTATGCGAATGACTCAACAATGAGTTAAGTGGTCACTAGTTAGAGACAGACTTCTAAAGGAGATCTTGAGTTGAGAGCAGTCATTACTAAGGGCCATAGAGATCAGTGGTATCCACAACAACCTTTGCTATCATCTGTACCATACTCCTTACGCCAATGACTCAACAATGAGTTGAGTGGTCACTAGTTAGAGACGGACTTCTAAAGGAGAACTTGAGTTGATCGAGGGCAGTCATTACTAAGGGCCATAGAGATCAGTGGTATCCACAACAACCTTTGCTATCATCTGTACCATACTCCTTATGCGAATGACTCAACAATGAGTTAAGTGGTCACTAGTTAGAGACAGACATCTAAAGAGAACTTGAGTTGATCGAGGGCAGTCATTACTAAGGGCCATAGAGATCAGTGGTATCCACACAACCTTGATGAAGATGGTATCCTCCTTGACATAGGCAGGGTCCTTCAGGACTGATTGAGAGACAAACAGAGGGCATCCTGAAGCAATATTCATGTTGGTAGAGGGGCGCTGGAAGCTTGTTGAGGTTGGGTCGGGTCGGAAGGAATCCGACAGGTGACGTCGACCAGTCTCTTGGTCTAAGAGCATTAATGTCACCTGGAATGGTTAACAGAAATGACAAGATGATATTTTTAAATTGTAGCGTTTAACTCAGTTTAACTGCTTTAATATTTTGTATCAATAAATCTAGATGTTCATATGGCACCTACAGATTTTAAGTAATAAAAACTTCCATCAATTCTTTTAAGACAATGCTGGAGCATACCCTCCCCCTCCAAAAAGAAAAAGGAGAACAAAAAACAGTAGTAATACTTAAAACAAAAATATGAGTCTGGGCATGTCCATCTACCTTTTAGAACATGCCATGGGAAGGAAAGAATTGCCTAAAGCTAGGTTTTTTTCCTTTTTATTTTTTGCAGAAGTTTGTGCTTACCTTTTGACTGAACGGCCAGGGCAAGAGAGCATCATAGTCACCCTTCATCACAACAAAGAAGAGAGATACATGGGTGCCCTTCCCGATGCCATCACCATTCAAATATATCCTGGCGCACATCTTGTAGCCAAAGCGGCTAGTGTAGAAGGGCTGGCTGTACAAGCTTAGTGTCTTTCCGTTGTCTGCGTCCCTCTTACGACGGGCAAACTCCTTGATCTTCCAGATGAGCGTGCCGTCGTAGCTGGCAGTCTCCTGGAACTGGAACCGTAGCTCATGCTCAGCTAGCCGCATCGAGTACATATTAATTTGATCATCAAAGTAATTCACCTTTTCTGTATTATTAGCTGGAAGAGATTGACAAAGATCACACGGATATAATCAATTACTAATGCTCAAAACACTATTCACAAAATACAGAGCTTTACAGACATTGTATACGCTGTCCAAAATTCATACAATTCAGTATCTGTAAAGCAATAACTCAAACTGTTGTCAGTTGCAGGATATCCAGATGCCAGAAAGTTAATGACTTCCTATGGTCAATTCCAAAGTTTACTGAATCCTGGAAAAGGATCACATTTAAATGTCATTAATTAATCTGACCCATGTAGCCAAATTTAGAAACATGCATCACAAAATACACATTTGAAAGAAAAGTTTTAATTATTACTGTGAACTACAATAAGCTTGATATCAATCAATATTGCATGGGACCATCATCATGAAATTTTGAAAAACAATCTCTTCTTCTTCTTTACAATGTTATGAAGACCAAAATTGAATCTGAGCAGGATTTGCTACCAACAGTATCCTTCAAGTTAGGTATCACAACAACCACCCTCCTCCCCTCCAAAAAAATAAATAAATAAATAAATAACAACAACTATAATTGTATTAAAAAATATATAAATAATAATATTAATAATAATACTAAAATAAACAAATAAACAAATGAATAAAACAATTAAGAAGGAGATCAATTGAGGAAGCACACTAACCTATCTGATCCTTGAGATGTTTAGATATACCCTCACTGGATCCACCAATTGTTCCACTACTACTCTGATCTTCCAGTTCGCTAATTCTAGTCTTCTGACTGTCCAGTTCTTCTCTGATTCCCTGGACACTCTCCTTGTGGCTCTCAAACTCCGTTCGGGACAAGCTCGTTCCGACACTCCGCTCAATGTCGGGCAGCTTACTCAATTTCGTTAGGACCATTTTCTAGAATAGAGAGTGGAGCGGAAAGTGAAAGGTAAAATTACTAGATGGTAACATAGAAGGAAATCCAACCCAAATAGACTAAAGCAGAAAAATCAGAGAAGCAAACTGATGAAAGTTTCAATTAAATCTGACTAAATATAATATAAAGTAGTTATGATTTTTTGAAAGTTGTAATCCCTGTAAGTATGGGCGCTTCACAATGGCTGAATCGGTAATGTCAATGCAATGTAGTGCCGGACTACTTTCCTACCTGTTTGAACGTACAAAATGCCTAAAACTTATATTTTTCAAAAATACATAATTAGATTCTAGGAACATCTGTCATATATTCTAGCTCCCTAAGTACAAGCTCATTTTGATGCTTCAGTCCGAGTCTTAGTACGGTATTTATTAATGTTGGAGAATGATAGATGATAGAATAATTTAAGTATATATTCCTGAGGGTAGTCACCATCAAAGCATCAGTCTGCCAGCTGTCTGAGGGTGAATCTTCAAAGAGGCTACACAGTTTATTTTCCAACTTCATGTACTTTAATATCAGGAGAAACCTGATGTGCCTCTTACCAGATGTCTTGCCCAAATTTGTTTTACATTAAAACTGATTACCAAGTCTAAAGACATTTTTACTCACCTGTAGTTGTTTAACGGACTTATCCACATCCGACAAGTTATCTGTGTTCTTATTAATCGTTGCCCTACTATCCTCATATAATTTCTTTAGGACTTTTCCCTGATTGTCAATTTCGGTCATTATCCTCCTGACTTCAGCTATCTTAGCTTCCAGGTTGATGGCTACAGTCTTCATGAGCTCCTGAGTGACTACTTCTCCACTTGCAGCTCCTGCTTCACCATCTCCGCCTTTAGCCTGGAATGATAGAAGGTCATTCCAGGGATGCGAGGTTAGAATTGTTTAGAGGGCCTGAAAATCACCTAGAATGAGCTATTTTGTACATAAAAAAGCCTAAACTATGGTCTGTAAAAAACTTACCAAGGCCTAAATTCAGGCTATTGCCTGAAAATTGGTATTCCTGTCATTCATCCCATTGGAATACTGATTATATTTTTTTAATGAAATTTTGATATTTAACAGTTATTTTTCATGCATAATTTGTATCAATCGCAATGTCTAGGTGTGTATTCTCATTGTTGGGGCCAGCATTAAACATTATGTGCTACACTCTTCAATAAACCATTGTAGTACGTGTCTCATATCTTTCAAGCAGCACTTGAATGTACTAACTTTATTGCCAACAACCATTTTATTGAAAATTTTCTTCATAGAATATTCATTTTATATATTAATATATTCATTCACAATCCAGTGCAAATGTGTAAAATCCCACATGCACTAGAACCAACTAGTAATCACTGGCTATATGAGAGATAAATGCTAATCATAGCCAACCACACAAGAAAAATAATGTTTGTTAAAATAATTCATTTCTAGTTTATTACACTCACCATTAATACTTTAGTTACTGACTCTGTAAATGCACAAACTTTTTCATGTTTCTGTAGGAAGAAAAGAGAATAATTAATTAATGATACATGTTATAAGAAACAAAATGATGATACCACATGGTGAAGAGAATGCAATGAGAATGTGTATAATCAGTATATCAGATATAATATCTATTCTCAACTCTCAATTATACTAAAGATGTAATGTAGTGACATGCCAGAGCAATAGTATACAAATAAATTAGAATATATACTTTATTCAAGGCTTATGACTAGTGTAGCATGACTTCCTTGCGCAGATAAGATAAAGCACAATAAATTGTAGTGAGATATGGCTGATAAAAATAATTCTCTGCTATTAAATACCGTCTTGACATCTTTGCTTCCTATTCTGTTTTCTATTATTTAAATATTTTAATGACTTTTTAATACTATTGTATTTTGTGCAGTATCCTTCTGTTATTAGTTATTACATATGTAATTTGAACTCAATTCAGCTGAAAGGCTGCCATGTACAATGTTTTTTTTATACCACAATAAATAAATAAATACATTTTCATCGGATGCATCCGGATACTGATAAAACGGCCACTATGAATGCATGGTACAGAAGAGAAATAGCCGATAGAAAGAAAGGAAAAAGGGTGACTCCGATGAAACGGCCACTATGATGGGTTCAGGAGAAAAATGGGAGAAAAACACTGATGAAAATGGTAAAAGGTTGTTATCTGGTTCCTTGTACAGCTAGTGTATGCACGCTTTTTTGAATCCCGGCTAGCAGCTACATGTAGCTGTGTTTGTTGGAAAAAATGCTTGTTTGGACTGTAAAGTCCGTAGTAAAGGAAATAGTAGCAAGTAGCAACCACCTTAGATCCATGATTGTGTTCCACCACCAGCGCGATATGAATCTAGCTGAGTTGCCTTTAGTGTAAAATTGTAGGTAACTAGCTAGCTGCGCACTGCTGCACTGTCTGCCGAATCCAGAATCAAGCGACCAGCGATTGCGCAATAATTCTTCACTTCCGGCCGAGGCATGCCACTGCGAGTGAATTTCATCGGCAGTATGAATGGCACATGAGGGAAAGCGTCGGCTTCGCCTTTGTGGCCGATTTTCATCCGGTGACTCTGATAGACAATAGAAGGACTATGAAAGGGGTATTATATTGAAGGTTTTTTTTTCTTCAGAGATGCAGGTACCTTTATAGAGTGAGATAATAACTGATATCATGGAATGTACATAATGTACATGTATATTCTAGTAGTTATGAAACAATGAATTGCTGAAAAAATACTGTATTTTTGGTTTTGGTATGCAAAAATGCCTTAGGGCAAAACACCAGAAGAAAAAGAAGATGAAATTCCTGTCATTCAGTGAAGTTTGAAACATTTTACCCAGGGATAATATAATGGATTGTTTCTTGGATAATGTACAGGGTAAATTGCTATTTGGTCTACCATGACCAATTCCACAAATAATAAGGAAGTTATAAACTTGAGATAATTAGTGATATGGGGAATCTTCCATTGGCAAAGCAGTCATAATATTTGATGTCATACATGGCAAACTGATCCATTTTCTCAATACTAGTGGTGAGACAAACATTGTTTTTTTTTTCCACTAGAGATTGCAGAGCATGAACCATTTATCCTAGACAAAACATACCGAAGGTTACTTTTATCATAAGAAATATAAAGAAATATTTTATATGACTTGAAAGATAAAAATAAATCACCAAATGGCTTTTTTTGTGTACAGTATTTCATACATGTAGTAAATGGGAGAGTTATGTCCATGTTAAACAAGATAACACATGAATCACGAATGACTACAAGTACATTGCCAATTGAAGTTTTTCCAGATCTGAAATTTGAAAACCTGACATTTCTTATTCTTCAATACTTTGCTAAAACTTCCACAGACATGCTTCTATGAACTTCTTACTTCAACATATACTGAGTACCGAAGCCAGCTTTCTGTGAAGGGTTGAATTTCCCTTTAAATTCTTTTGCACCACTTTGTAACCCTAAGCATTCAAGGTGAATAAAAGTAAGCTGCCACAGCATATATCCTGAATTCATAGAATATGCAACACCTCTTTCTTCTTTGAATATGTCATGTATCATTATCAAATGAGTATGCGTACATCCCCCAATGAATAATGACTGTTTGTATTGTATTGCACTATACTGTGACATAGTAGGTCCATGCGTATATTGCCTAAAAGTAAAACCAACATTTGTAAGGGCCCTAAAGGGGAAATCCCCTATGACAACTGACAAGATTAATTGTGGAAATTGATATTCCTCAGTATATGGTCTGCCTGATAGTATACAGACACATGCAAGTACTGAAACCCTACTAAAACTGTACTGTATTACATAATTTCTTAGAAATATGAATTCATTATTTTGACTTTTAGAGGTACAGCGTATTTTTTTTTTTTTAAAGTTCGATTCCTTGTTAAAAGTCGACTTCAAGGAATTCCCTACCGCTACAAATGTCAGTCATATGCGCACATGTACATGTACTATTTCCTCCTTTACAAAATAAAGGGGGGATTCCCTATTGTAACCCATAATCACAAAAGCGGTGTAATGTAGGACGTCCTTGTAATTTAACAACGTACTAATACAGTATATGCAGGAAGAGATGTGAATAATACGCACATAGAATCTTTTGGAATTGCTCTTATACAATGTCCTAAAATGGAAGTTTGTTGGTACATGTATTTGGCTTCTAGCCCAGCCCATATTGGAATTTTTCAGCTACACATGTGTACACTGTACATGAATGAGTAGAAGGATAGAGATTTAAACCACACCCACATCCCCTCTGGCTTCCTCTCTTGGTAGTCGATGACGAGTCATGAGTATCATGATAACCATGGCAGTCCAAGTAAAAAATCAATTCCTAGTACCTACCTAGTTTGATGTGGATTTTTTTGAAAATGAGGAGGTGGTTTCAATTTATTGGATATTTGATGTTTTTGTGTAGGTTGAAATGCCTGAGGATTTTATGTAAACCCTGTTGTCTAGAAGTCCTCAGATTCTTATTCATTTCATTTCAACTCAACCCCCCCCCCCCCCCAAAAAAAAAAAAAAAAAAAAAAAACACACACACACACAAAACCCATCTAATCCCCCAAAACAACGTGAGGCCGGAAAAGAGGAGGGAACAAGGAGCTAAAAAATAATTGTATTCAACCTTAAATAGCTGCAGACAAAATTCCATAACTCTGCCATTATCTTTCAATATTTCCTTCTAACCATGAAAGAATAAAGAAATGGTAATCTAGAAAAACAGAAACAAGTAAAAGTACATCTATAGATTTATATAAATACTTTTATCATAGGAATATGCCTGGGCTGCACTAAATAGATTTGCAAAATTTCTGGTAAAAGAGGATTTTTTTTTGTTTAAAACTTGAATGAAACCATGAAATGTAGCACGAGAATTAAACAGAAGAAATTTTTGTTTTGTGCCAATAGACAGCCATTTAGAGGGTAAATATTTGATCTCATTTAGTCCTAAATATGCAGCATGCATTTTCAAGAGAGGATAGAACAGAAATGTCAAATCAGTTCCCACCACTGGTCTGTTACAATGCCTCTGACAATTTGCGCAATATTTGTTTTATATCTTCCATTATAAATGAAAATGAAAGCTTGTGCCAGCAGAGCGCATTCCTGATGAATAAGTGTTTCCATTAAGCATTGACATGAAGCCATACAAGCATGTGTTGCATTGATAATTTACTGTAGTATGTGTCAGACTATACTGTATGAACATCTTTTCAGACTCAGAGCACAATTAGGGAGGGGGTTGTGACTATGCCACGTGGTTGCCAATAGACTCAATGAAAATACTAGTACCTTTTTATATTACTATATATTACTGTTTCATTGTTTAGTCTTTCATACACAGCAGATGAAAACTACCATAATATTCATGGTTTGTACAACAAAAAGGAAAAAGAAAGGAAAAGGTAGACCTACATGATTATGTACATGTGTACATGTGTAAATGTGTACGTATATGTCTCATATGTTTAGTGAAAACTACAAATATTTTAAAAAGAATCAAATTGTTAATATGTGTTATATATAGGCCAGGGGAGAGGCTTCTTGTTCTCTTCCAGATTCAAAAATTGGGTAGAATGTCCCCGTTTTCTCCCATGTTCCTTTAACAATAACAGTGTACGTACACTCCCCCTCCCTCTTCCCCCTCCTACCAACAAAAAAGGTTATTGAAACATTTAAAATTATCTTCCTCTTTAAATATAAACATTAATCATGTTCTGTGTAGAATAATTATCTTTTGTCCAATTTTGTTGGGTTGGGGGGGGGGGCACAGATTCATGTAATTCTCTGGTAATCATCGGCAATACTTCTCACTTTGAATACAATGAGGGCGCAAAAAGCACAGAGCAGTCATGAGGTGTTTACCGATGTACATGCAATTATAAGAGGCATGTTCATGTTGCAACCAGTTCTAATGAAGTGTATTTGTAGTTTTGGAAGTACTATGTATGTACTGGTAAATATATATACCTGTCATTGTTTATTGATTGTGTAGAAAATACTAATCTTCAACCTGCCTACAAGTACATGTACATGTACAGTGTATTTGTAACACTGTTCTCAGTGATGAATCAACCCATGATTGATTTTAATCATCTGGAGCCATAAAAGCTTCCAAATGTACAAGCAGGGGAATCCCCAATTACAGCGAACCACGTGATTTACCGAGTATTACACTTTGATCGATCATGTCTATTTATACAGATGTAGGCGGTTAGGAGGAGTTTAAGGCGGTTCACAACAAGTTGACCCTAGGGTGTAGATAGTTACCTAGAACTTGTCTATGCAAGAACTATCTAGTCAGGAAATACAATGTTCTAGTTATTTTTTTCCCAAAAAATAATTCCTATGCTACTAAGGATAATCCTTGGAAGGGGATAAGTAGAATGTATAATTTATATTGGAATAAATATGGCACTTATGAATAGGAATGCCAGCTATCATCCTTGATTTGTTGAACTGCATAAAACCAGACACCCCTACAGAATAATGCAATATACTAAAGGGCACTCTATTCAAGTATGTACAAGTATTGTATGAATGAGCAAATTGTATTGCTTTGTAACTTGTGAGTCGATAATCTTTGAACCCTTCTAAATGTGGGCCATGGTCCTGGTTTAGGATGTGTGTTTAGCTTAATAGCATTAGCAGAACACTTACTGTCCAATCGTTCATGTTGAAGCATGTCATGCTAGTTTAATAGCAAGATACAAAACTCAAGCACCTGAATGTGAACCAACCTTCAAACCCCACCTACTCACTTGAGCTATTTAAATATGTTTTAACAGTATACCACTGAGGAAGATAAAGTCTAGAGAGAGAGAAAAAGAGAGAGAGAGAGAGAGAAAGAAAGGGAAAGAGGGAAAGGGAGACGGGGAGAGAGAGGAAGAATAAGATTAAAGAGAGAGATATCACCTCTGCAAAATACTGAAATACCACATTTGGTGACGTGTAGGAATTACTGAATGTAATTTAGAAACTGCCAAACAGAATGAAAGTTATGAAACTGAATGAAAATAAATATCAAATATAAATTCATGTCACTGTACCCAACTGACGCTAATTGCCTTTGTTGTCTTGGCATTAACATGAAAATAAGATGGAGTAAACTACTCACCTCTAATTCTGTAGCTATAAACTGCTGTCCACAATGCTGACAGGATTCTTTCCTAAAGTCACATTGCGTTTCTAGATGTTTTACCAGATCGATCCTCTTTATAAGTTCTTTGCATCCCTGGTGTTTATGGATACATTCTATTATTACAAATGAGCATTCTTCTTCATGTTTGTCCAAGTCTCTGAGCAACATGTCTGTACCACATCCATGTGGGCATATAATGTCTAGCTTGAGCAACTTTTTATGGGCGATCTTGTCTCGCTGAGTCTCAGTTGTTGGAAACATATCATGGCATCTTGGACACTCTAGTGATCCTGTTTCATCCCTAAAGAATGAACAGAAAATAGAGATAATATATTCTTTTATTCTGCTGCAAATAACATATAAATGCTGTATAAACTAAAAGCAAGAATATTTAAACTTAGTGAAAATTTGACAAAGTTGGTTTATCTCTTCTCCTTCTTTTTCAGTTTTTTTTTCAGGAGGGAGGTAGAAGCAGTCTTATAAAGGTAGTGTATCCCCTTTGCAGCCAACATCAAATTGTCTACAATTCTGCAGGAATTATGAATGTGTCACGTATGTCCTATCTCTGAAATTTAAACGTTAGCAGTGTCACTGTATTCAAATTATGCAAGGAAACCTGTTCACTTTCTCGACTTCTCTGTCGGCCACTATTGAGTAACTTCTCTTTTTCTTTGGTAATATAATACATAAAATGAGATGTAAAGGGTTCATGAGCATATGTTGTCTACATCAATAACCCACTTCTACTTGTAATGGCCAAAATTAAACTGATTGAATCTTTGCGCAACACAAAACATACGACCATTCGATATGCGGGTCTGAAATTAATTACATTCTAACCAACAGAGCAAGACACTTTTCCTTTGAAATCCACTCACCCTATATATCTATGTAAGCATCCATGACAAAATAATCCACAGGCACAGTCCGTCTGTACGGGCCATCGTACTACCTGGGCACAAATTCCACAAATATAACCTTCTGATGGAGGACTTTTAAAGATGTTTGTAGAGTATCCTGGCAATTCCAGATATGATGGAGGAGGTGATGCTCCTTGAAATGATGCTCCTGAACCAGGTTGACCTTCTAACTCTCCTGTATCACTCTGGAGGCTTCTAATGCTAGGGTTCACCTCAGCTCCTTTCTCCGCCATGCTGCTTAATACAAATCTATGTCTCGATTTCTTAATTCCCAAATAAAACAAAGATGCACTTCTCTGTTGAGCTTGATGACAAAAGATTGCCTGTAGATGAAGAATTCCACTTTTGCTGAAGAGAGAAGCCAACGTTGTGAAGTTGATTAGGGATCCTAGGATGAGGTATATGATGATCACACTTTCAGAATGTGTATTGTTCATCAGAGCCGTTTCATCTTTAAATGGCATCTTCTCTATTCTGAAAGTTTCTTGTAGGTAGAACCGTCCTTGGATAGTCCAGGGGGTTGACTAGATAAATCTTTAACTTAAACATTCCTGGTAGAGGTAAAGAGAGAGAGGGTGAAAGAAGAAAAAAAGAAAAACAATGATGATCAGTATGATCTGTGTCAAGTCATGAATCAATCCATAAAAGTGTGAGGAATGGTTTTGAATGCCATTATGTTTCCTAATGTTTGCTTATTACTATATTAAAATCCATGTACAGTTGCCCAGTGTTCAAAGACATATTATCTGCAATCCATCACATTGTATAACATTTTATTTTCTATTGAATAACTGAATAACCTTACTTAAAAGATATTATTCAACTATTCAAGTAGACCTACATATTTTGTAGCGAACATCAGACTGTGCAATGTAGTTAAACAATCATTTTTTTTGTGATTCTGAATCTGAATAAACATGTTTTCATTTCTGTAATGTAAGAACTAAGACTGCAAGTTGGCACAAGTTTGGAAATATTTTACATATAATTCAAATCTTTTGAAACATAAAGGGTCTATAGTAGTATAGCACTATTACAGTTTTAGTATTATCCTGAAAAAAGTATGCAACATAAAAAATACGCAATTAGCAATCAATATATTTAGCCCTCAAAACAGTTCTAAATACCAATACTGCAATAGTGTCATTCATAAAAAGTGACTCTCCACTGGCAGCCATCTTTTTTCATATTTTTCCTGTTTGGTCTACTTCGTCCTGCATGTCTTGAGAACTCCAAATCTATCATGCATGTCCATACTATGCAGCATTACCAAGATTATTCCTGAAGTGATGGTGATATGCATCTTGAATACAGGTCCATCATTCATGGACCCCAGCGAAGAAATCTGCTGATCAATCATTTTTGTAGCTTTTTTTCATTGAATTGAAATTCATTATTCTCTAAAAAAAGTTCAAACACCGGGTCCAGCAAATATATCCATCATTTTCAATACCTTATCAATTGCTTACACTCAACTTAAAGTAACATTTACACTACCACAACCAGTACCAGTGACATACCGGTACCGGTAATCTCTAGACTCTAGTCTAACTCTGAGCTGAGGCTAAGCCTAACTCTGAGTCTGACTGAGCCGAGTCTCACTCTAAGGCTAGCCTCAAGAGTCAAGGTCTATTTCATTATTTTAATCATCAATCACGATTTAAAACGTTATGAAACTTACCAATAATATGAAGTTACCTAAACACAATATTTATTTACCCGTTGATGCATAAATGGATGTATAATAATGATGAAAATTACATTAGTACTGTAATATTTGCCGTGAAATACTAGTCCAATGCCTCTGTTCCCAATACGGTTTACATGCTGCACACATACACACGTACACATCATGTACGTTACGTTCGCTTTCTTACGTTACACATTACGCGCTGCATTTCTCTGGCTATGAATAGAAACGGGGATTTCCAGATTCTACAGTCTGATGACAAGGCATTTGTAATTTTGATATGGAGATTCAGGTTGATCTATGAGACACGGTACAGAAAATCTAGAAATACCAAGCACTAAAAATTAGTTAATATTACGGTAGAAAGGTTTTTCATCAAATTAACTCAATTTTCGCAGAAAATTTCTGTCGTCGTAATTTAAGTGTACTGGTAATTAGACTAGCTTTCTCTCTCTAGCACGAAAAATAGTCAACTGTGACTGATCGCCAAACAAAATCAAGTCAAGAAAAAAGCTCCCCCCCCCCCCCCCCCCCGGTTGGGAGAACGGGGGAGGGGTGTATTGGGGAGAAGGAAAAAAGTCCAATCAGATGTCATTTGTGATATTAGGAAGAACTAATAAATTGGTAGCACATGATCAGGACCTCACCACTAATGTTGTGGACGGTCACGTGTTTTAATTTTAAAATGGTATTAGTTTTTTTTTTTTTTTACATGCACAGGGAGAACTACCCTACAACTTGTTTTTCTTACCAAGGTTAGGAGGAGGAACGAAGATGTGTTTAGATGCTAGAACGCCGTATGGCAGCCGTGCTAAAGCCAGGGTAATAATCGGGAGCGCCAGGAGGGTCAAATCTGACTGACATGAGCGCTATACAAGAACCCAATATTATTATTATAATTAGCATTTAGATTTTGAGAAAGAAAATTTATAAATATATGATGGTCTCCGATCTTCGCCATCGTTATTCGTTGCGACATTTTGCTTATGATATGGCGGGTTGCATTCCATGAAAATTTGTTTGATGGATCCTGAAATGTTTGAATAATTATTTTGTAAACTCAGGATAGCTACCACTAGTGGCGTAATGAGCAAAAACGTTTTTTTTTTTTTTTTTGGGGGGGGGGGGGGGCAGACAAAAATTCCACATCACCCCCACTTTTACATGCAGACCCTGCTGAACGTTTTTCAAAGTGGGGTCTACTGGGCGGAGCCCCCGAAGCTCAAGGGGTATGGGCATCAGTGGCGGATCCAGGAATTTCTTACCGGGGGGGGGGGAGGGAGGGCACAAAATGGCATGGAGAGGAGCGACCAAGCGGGGGTGGGTCTGGGAGGGGGTTCTGAGTCACAACCTCCCCGAGTAGGAAGCATTAGCAATTTTAGAACCACATAGACGCATTTTCAGGCACTTCTTGGAGTAATATGACGTAAAATTGCTTTATCCTACCCCCTCCATGCAAGAGTAGGGATCTTTTGCAATTTGAGAACCACATTTGGCGCATAATGTCCACCGACACTGTCTTCCTGGAAAAAAAAGAGGCCTTCTGATTGGTTAGAAGTTAGAGAAAAGTGACCTGTCACGTCGTGAGACGTTGTATATGCTTCGTTGCTGCACAATGCACGGTGGTCTGGTACTTCACCAGTAGTACTTCCAAAATTAACTCGAGTGTATAAAGTGTGTTGTTATCAGGGGCGTCGCTAGACCTTTTTCAGTGGGGGGGGGGGGTGTAAAGGCCACCGATTACCGACAAAACTATCCCCTAATTACCGACAAATATATTAATGCCAATGTCCCAATCTCTACAGATTTAACCCTATTAACCCGGGGCAGTTTCTCCCTCCCGCGCAAAGCGCGGAAGCTTTGACACTTAAATTATTAGAAAAATAAGACGATCCGTTGCACCGTTCCCGACTCTCAATTTTTGTTTCGCCCCTCCCACGCGGAGCGCAGAAGCTATGACATTTCATTTAATTATTACAGAAAGAATAGCCTACGATTCATTGTACCGTTCTCGACTCTGATTTCTTGTCTGAATTCAGTTCCCCCCACCCCGCCCGCGCTAAGCGCGGAAGCTTTGACGTCTCAATAAATTATTTCTCTTAATCCTTGTCTGAATTCAGTTTCGCACATCCCGCGCAAAAATCGGAAGCTCTCACGTTTCATTAAATTATAAGGGAGAAAGAAGACGATTCATTGTATCGTGTCCTTGTCTGAATTCAGTATCCCTCCCCCCTCCCGCGTGAATTGCGGAAGCTTTGGCGTTTCATTAAATTATTAGAGAAAGAAGACGATTCGTTGTATCGTGCCCTTGTCTGAATTCAATTTCCGCCCATCCCGCTTTCACGTTTCTTTAAATTATTAGAGAAAGAAGACGATTCGTTGTATCATGCCCTTGTCTGAATTCAGTTCCCCCCTCCCGACATCCTTTTCGCCCATCCCGCGCGCAGCGCGGAAGCTTTCACATTTCATTAAATTAATAGAGAAAGAAGACGATTCGTTGAACCGTTCTTGCCTCTTTAACACACAAAATATTTGTTTTTTAATTTTGTTTTTTTTTTTTTAATTTAAAAAAATTGAGGAGGTTTAACCCCAACCCCTAGAGGCGGCGCTCCGGGGGGGGGGGGGCAGGGGGCACAGTGCCCTCCCACTTTTTCAATTACCCTAAAAGTGCTCCTTTTTGCATAGGAATAGTGCCCCTTTAACTTTGTAAGCAGTGCCCCTTTTTAAATAGCAAAAGTGCCCCTTTTACTTTGACAAGTGCCCCTATTCATTATTAAAAGTGCCCTTCCCCTTCGCCTCTGATAATTGCACTATTCAAATCTGAGAGGTTCATCTTTTTCTTTGACAAGTTCCACTTTACCTTTTTTTTTTTAAAGTGCCCCTTCCTCTTTTAATAACTACACCTTTTAATAACTGCCCCTTTTAAACTTGGATAAGCGGACCTTATATTTTCACATGTGCCCCTTTTCCTTTTAAATAAGTGCCCCTTTTCCTCATTATAAGTGCCCCCATTTTAAAAAGGGCCCCTTTCCCTTCTCATAAATGCCCCCTTTTCATCTATGAAAATAGTTCCTTTTTATTCTCATAAGTGTCCCTTTTCATATTTTGTAAATGACCCTATTCAATTCTGAGAGATACTCGTTTTACTTTGACGAGTGCCCTTTCGGCTCCTGATAAGTGCTCTTTTCATCTCTTATAAATGCCCCCCTTTTTTTAAAGTCATCCTATTCCTTCCTAAATGCTCTTTTTCCTTATTATAAGTGCCTCTTCCCCTTCTCATAATTACCCCTTTTCATCTTTGATAAGTGCCCCGTTTATTTTAACATGTGCCTCTTTTTCTTTTTAATAAGAGCCACTTCCCCCCTCTTCATAAAAGCCCTTTTTCATTTTCATAAGTGCCACCTTTCATGTATGGTCAGTGCCCCTTTTCAGATGCGATAAGTGCCCCTTTTCACCTCTGATAATTACCCTTTTAACAATATGTGCCCCCTTTTCCTTTCTAATAAGGAACTTATCCCATTTTCATAAATGCCCCTTTCAAAATCTGACTAGGCGTTGTGGCGTGCGCCTGTAATCCAGCTAACAGTGGAAGTTACAAACTGATTCATCCCAGGACGCAGGTTCGAAACTGAGTCACGTCTTTCGGATGGTGACGTTTAAAGGTCGGTCCCCAGACGTAAATAATCATATCTGATTGATACACGTCTGTAAAAACCCAATACAAAACACACACACACGCACACACGCACACAGGCACACACGCGCACACGCACACGCACACACACACACACACACACACACACTGATGGGTGCCTTTTCATCCCTGGTGCATGCCTCTTTTTTTAGGTGTAAGAAGTGCCCCATTTTCACCTCTGGTAATTAGCCTTTGTACTATGACACGTGCTCCTTTTCTTTTCAAATAAGTGTCTTAACCATTTCGATAAGTGTCCCCTTTCCCTCTCATCATTAAATGTGCCCCTAATGTCAAGCGACTAAGAGCGATTTCCCCAAAAGCTCGCTCGCTACGCTCATTCGTAGTTATGTTATAATTATGTAACTTATCAAAGGTCTTTTCAGTCTTCCGTTATGAGAATGTGCTTATAACCGTATCAGGATTGGTTTTTCCTCTTTATAAGATGTAAAGTTTCACACTGCGACCTCACAAATCTTAAAAAATGTCCTCGCTCGCAAATGAATTTTCAGACCATCACACCCAACTGCAAAGTATGATGCTTAAAGGTAAAGACCAGTATTGGAAACGCCCCAATTTCAAAAAATGAGATGGAAGCTCTCATTACCAATCATGTGAAAGAATATGTTTTGACTAATACATGATGATAAAAAAATTGCCGGGAAACCGCCTACTAATTCATATATTTGGTAAATTTGTTTCTCTCATGGTCTGTTTGAGATATAGGGTAGTCCCATATACATCTTTCTGTGTAGTGCTTGTAACTTTACGAAGAATGGGCCAAATTTCTTATCATTTTGATGATTCCAGAACCTTGCAGATGCTAGATGCTAGATGATCAACCTTTTCTGATCGATTCCACAACGTTTCTTTCACAATGCAATCGCATTACCATAACTGGTCTTTACCTTTAAGCAATATTGAAATCATCCATGATAAATGATAATGTAATATATATGGGTATATACCGATGTATAAAAAAGTGTATATTTTCGCTTTGAGATTCCCCTTTGAAAAGGTGCCCTTTTTCCAGAAAATGCCCTTTTTGTTGGTGCCCTCCCACTTTGGAAGTCGCTCCGCCGCCTCTGCCCTTGCGAGAGATCTAAAAGAGTGATTTTTTTTCTTTATCGTAATTGTCACACGATTACACTGGGGAAAAAATACTGTGTAGAAGTTGATCATGTTCCACCCTCACCCTCGTCTCTAAATATAGTGCACGGTATGTTTATTCATCTCTCACACTATCCCTCCCTTACGGAAAAGAAAAAGACAAAGAAAAAAAAATGATGCAAACGAACAGCGCCATCTAACTTGTGCAAATGAATTTATTTTTCAAGGGGATTCCCACCGTTCAGTTATTCCCCAACCCACAACAACCACAACGACAAATGCCGCAATTGAATACGGGCAGCGAATTTGATTCAGTATGAAATATTTTATCGTACGTATTACAGTGAATAAATGTCTTCTAAAGGGAAAATGTGAGAGTACAAAATGAAAGGGAAAGTACTCGCATATTGCTTATTTTGTATAAAAGTCATGGAAATTTGTATTTGAAGTGCAATTTTTTTTTTTTTTTAAATATGAATTATAGGGAAAGGGAATAGTAAACATCCCTTTCAAAATCTCATATGAGGTTGTGCCTATTAGTATTATTTGTGAGGAAACAAACGTATTGAAATCATCGTTTTTGCCACTTTCCGTTGACAAAATGAAATCGTTAAGATGAGAGTGCTTCTCCATCAGACATCCACCGAGTTCAAAGTCATGCTGAAAGAGATCCCGTACATAAATTATTATTAAGATAAAACAAAATAAAAAGCAACAGCTCGATATAGCATCTAACAATAACAAGCAGCATTTTGCTAAAAAAAAATATAAAAAAACACAATAAGTTTATGAGTTAATTGATGAGCGTGTACAAATAATAAACATAATAGTGGACGATGAAGAACAAATAAAACGACGGAAAGATAGAGAGAGAGAAAGAGAGAGAAAGAGAGAGAGTGAGAGAGAGAGAGAGAGAGAGAGAGAGAGAGAGAGAGAGAGAGAGAGAGAGAGAGAGAGAGGAGGAGGAGAGGGGAGGGAGAGAAAGAAGAGGGCAGAGTGACGAGATAGGGGTTTTTCGGTAGTTACTCACCAGATGCAAACGCTGAAGAAACAAGTCATGATTACTGGTATATACCGAGATAGATTTCCGAATAGGGTATTCCTACTAATCCAATTGCAAAGATGCCTCAATCAAAGAATGCAAATATTTCGATGGCTGTTGGAAGCCACTAACATGTTCTCGCTCCCACGAAAGCGCTGTGAATAAGAATGGCAACTAAAAGGGCAACAAGATGAATGGTTGCCTGGGAATCCCCACAAACTATTCTCGACTATAGAGCGTATATAAAGCTAAGAGACTCTGCCTTGATTCATTGCTCACAAGTTTTGTTATACTGTATAAAAAAAAAAAACGATTCTCTTACAGTTTCGAAGCGGTATAAATACCATATGTGTTTCAGCATGAGATTAATAAGGATACAACAATTAAGTACATAATCTTGTAGTAGGGTTACACACAGTTCAAGCAATTTAAACAGACCCGATCCCATGGTATTGGGAGGAGATGGATCTTGTTAAGAACGAATCAGAATAATTTATTTAGGAAATGTTAATCATCAGATTACATTAGTATTATTTCCGTTTACTTGTAATAAGAAGCTAATGTGTTACTCCAGTGGCGAACAGTGACAGACATGCTTGTCTCAATTTTTTTTTAATTGTCTGAAAGTAATCAATTTTGAATAAGTATCGTCTACTTTAGGCGCCGGAAAAAATGCTTGCCGAAATCCAGTACCGTATTACCGTTAGACATTACTGATCAATCTTGCTCACTTCGTTTTTGTTATAGCTCGTTTTTTTCTCTTCTGGTTTCTAGGGGAGGAGGGGGGGGGGGGGGTGTCATATTCACCCGGCATGCATCTCAGGAAGTTGATGCTAATAAAGCTACGAGGAACATCGCATATATTATACAGTATGGCTAACAGCCAGATAACATACGCAGCTGTAATAAACCATGGACCTACGACCTATGCTACGACGCAGTAGGTCCATGAATAGCTGCGGGGAATCCCCAAAATGAATAGTCTGCATTCCAGCCTTAAATGAGTCGCTTATTTTCGGGAGTGTTGTACTACCGAAAGCTGCCTCCATTAAGTAAGAAGATATGCGCTGATGTTTTTAAGCGCAGTCCTTTTATAAACATACATTTATTTGCTCTAATATCAGACCTACTTTCTCGTGCAAAAAATACACAAGAAAGGTTCATGATAAATTAAATATTTTAGGGGTATATCATAAAGTATTTCCCGTTTTAATGTCTGCCCATGTCAAATTATTAACTAAGGATAGAAAAGCATGAAGGTACAGAAAACCAACATTGAACGAAGAGAAATGAGAAGACACATTGGATTAAGCTATTAACTCATTCTGTTTCTTTTTTAAACTAACTTTGACCTAGTATAAACAATAGTTTGTAATTACTGTTCAGCAATATTGGAGGAACGAAGAATATCTTATCAGGGAGTTGTGGAGTACATCATCTAACTAGAAAGATCTTTATTTAGCCAAACGATGGTCTCATCATCAAGCTCTCGAAGTCCAGAAGCACCGTGAGGGGATTTGTGAACAGGACAAGCATCGATGTCGTGATCCATAGTTCCGATCTTTCCACAGGCAGATGCCCCTTCTTCAAAGGCAGAGACCGGGGGCAAGAACAATTAAGGCAGTTATTTCTGTCAAGCTTTTAGGCAAGCTTAGTGTCCTGCACATCTCGTCTGAGCTGAACTAGTGGTATGCCAGACAGTATTGGAAGGTTGCTGACAGACTGATGTTGCAGTGAGTGTTCCGATGATTAGTCTCATAGCATCATTGAGGACGACATCAACCTTGTGTACTATGTGGGTGCTGTGGCTCCATGCGGGTGTGGCATACTCGGCGGTGGAGAAGGCAGGAGCTAGCTAGGGTGGAGGTGCGAAGGGTGGTGAAATCAGCTCCCTATCCGCTCCAAACAAGCTTCTTTAGGAGAGGCACTCTGGCTTGGGTCTTTTGAGTTGTGGCTTTGGCATGCTCGTGGAAGGTGAGGCGTCGATCAAGATCGAGTGACACTAGCTAGTTCCTTTGGCGTGGGGTCGAAATTCAGCCTAGTCCCATTTAGTGAGATATTCAACTCTAGGCTGGCGCATGCCGCGCATCGGCTTGCCAGATGGAAAACGGGAGGATACAGTCTTGGGTATACTCATCTTGAGATGCCATCTGTTGAAAAACTCGGCTAGCATGCTTATGTCCTTCTCCAGTGATGGTTTGATTGCCTCGTAGGAGTGGTTATCAAACCCCAGTGCGGTGTGATATGCATAGGAATACTGCATGTATCCCCCCTTGGGCATATCAGAGACATAAATGGTGAAAAGTATCGGAGCTAGGACAGAGCCTCGAGGCACACCATTGGGGAGTCTCCTCTTCCTGCTACATTTGCCGTTTGATGTTTCAAGAACAAATGACAGGTCTTGTACAAGCAGCATGCTAAATTTGACACTCCTTACATCTGGGATGGGCTGCAGGGGCTTGAGGTATAAGCCACGGTGCCATACTGTGTCAAATCCTGCAGTAGGGTCGACAAGAACTGTACCAAACTTTTGCTTCTTGTGGAAAGCGGTCTCTAAGATAACAAGCCAGGCCACCAGGTCGGTGGTTGATTTACCTTTCCTGAAACCTGCCTGGGTAGTATGTAGCTTTTCTTAGACAGTGTCAATGATTCTGGCAAGTAACAGCCTTTCAAGTAGCTTGTAGATATGAGATCTTGGATTTGTTGTCTGCAGGCTTCTTTGGCTTCAGAATGGCCATTACTTGCATAGCGGTCTTTCATTTTGATGGAATAGTGGGTAGAGAAAATAGAATGGCTTGTAGCCAGGAAATAGCTTTGTGGATGTTATCATTGCCTAGTGCTTTGCTGGACTTTATTGATTTCAGTGCAGTTTCAACCTCATCAAAGGCTTTATACATGGAGGTTGAATTTGGAGTGGACTTGAGGAGTTTCTTTATCTCAGAATTCACTGAGTGGGTTTTGGCCTCAGTGGTTTTATCTTTCCACTTTCCATTGCTATCAAGGACTGAAGCGATGGAGTTTGCAGCAACAGGACACTGTTTCGTTCCCTACAGCTTCTCTTTCTTCAATGGCCTTGGACTTAATTTCATGAATCATGGCAACATATTGTGAGAAAGACGTAGTGAGGCTGTGTAAGGGAGTATAACAGAGAAAGAGAGGGCGGGAGGGTGATGGAGGGAAAGAGTGGGGAGGAGATAGGGAGGGAGAGGGAGAGGGGGAGGGAGAGAGAAAGGGGGAGGGAGAGAAAGAGAGAGAGACAGAGAATCAGATACAAAGAAACAGAGAGGGGAAGTGTACAAACATACAGAAAAACAGGGGGATAGTGTTAAGAATTAAAATTCAGAAACGTAATATACAAAAAAAAAATAAAACCAGCCTCTTTTCACAAAATGCAAATAGACATCATGATAATCTAAATGTCCAATATATAGTTGATTTATTAGTATCCACATAAATACAGATTTACATAGTTTATCATCAAAAGCATCAAGGTCGGATCAACATCTTTCCTTGGGAACACATCCAGGTACATGAATTGTGTAGGCTCTTTACAGTAATTACACAAGGACCTCTATCAAAAAGAGGCTGTTCTAAACAATATATATATATATATATATAACTTGTCAAAAACTTGCTCAATGTCCATCAATAAAATTAAATAAAACATGGAAATTGCCCATGTGGATTTTTTTTGCATGTTGAGAATAGCATAGACGGTTTTGAAGCACAAAAATATTAAAATATTTATTTTTCAGAAATTTTGATAAACAATGGTGAAAGTTTTTTTAGAAATGATTTATGATATGCCTTTACAAATCTCTATTTCATCAGTCGGTTGAGTATGCATGTACATTACTTCTTTTACCTTTTGTTTTTAGTATAACATGTACTCATCATAATTGTATTGGGTTATGAACCTTGATTGATGATTATTTAGAAAATAACTTTTCTTGATTCCATCAGAAAAATTTCTCTGTAACAGAACTTTACTTATGACGCATGATGATATACAATACTTTTTTTCAGATACAACTGTGGTTTGGGTGTCTGTTTAGTATCTACTGAGTGGCAATCAGCAAATGTATATTACAAAGCATAATGACTATCAGAGTGTCTCCTATACAAGAAAAATAACACTGAAACATGTGAATTTATATAAATGAGTTTTGAAAAAGATACTCACAAATTTTCTAAATAAAATAACTCTATGGTTATCAGGGAACAACAAACAGACCAAAGTCAGACTTCAATTTCCCGGATCAGAGTCTAAAATTTGAAGGATTTAATACACCTCGCCATCTTAACAGATAAGTTTAAGATAAAGAGTATGAAACAAGGTCATAGCATGCATGTGAAACATTGTCTGTTTGGAGCAAGACTGAACAGTGTTGACCCATATTATATTACACAGAGTTAACTCCTTTCTCGTTCCAAACAGATAATTTATCTTCTTTACATTCCAATTCATGTTAATCAGGTGAATGAAAGTGATGAATTTTTAAAAAAAATATGACAACAATTTAAGTTTCTGTACAAATGTAGGAGGGTAATTTTCTGTGAGCAAGAGTACTGTCAATGGTGTTCGTAGAATAGTCTTGGTTGTTGTTACATAAAATAAAAATCATCAATAAAATCATTTTATATATGATAAGATATAATCATAAATAACATATTGTATTAGAAATCTTCTCTTACATGGCTTTAATTACCATTAAACAATGTAATATATAACCTGAGTATTGCAACATGAATAATATAACGATTCCTGTATTCACAAAAAACCTTTTTTACAATGAATGACAATACCATCAGCTAATTATGTAGATATTGTTTCATTTATTGTTTCTTTTTTTAATGTTTACATTGTTAATCAGACCATAATTCTAAGATGCCTATAATTTGACAGTACTTTAACAAATTAAGATAATACTTTTGGGACTATATCCCCCAATAGTAATACTAAAATAATAATCTGTTTGAAATAAATGTATGTTTTAAGACATTGAAAACCATTTTCAATTTCCCATTGGTCAATCACATTGAATATGCATATACTGGCTGTCTTTGCTTCATGTGTAGTCATATAAATATGAATATGTGGGTTTAGAAATGAAAAATTTAAATTTAATCTGTAAGCGTAACATGAATTTCTAATAATGAAAATACCAACAGATTGAACTGTGCAAATTCATGAATTTCACATTTCAACATGAAAGATTTCAAACATTCATTTCATACAGAGTTGCATGATAAAATTAATGAATCAGTATCTTTGGCATCACTAATCATCATTATCCATAATCAACAGTTAAGTATTCATATCTAGTAATTTTACAAATGACCATCATTACTTATCAAATCAATATGTTCAATTAGGGCTTCGCTTTGTTCTTTAAATTGAAACATTTGGCTTTTTGATTGACCTTTCCATGGCATTGTTCGCATGATTTTCATTTCTCTATGGTCAATTGCTACAATTAATGGCGATAAGAATTTGATTCATGAAAAACTTAGATGTCAAAGGCACAAGTAATTTTGAAATAATAAATTCACTCAATGATGATTTTATGAGAGTTATTCTAAAAGACAAGGCAAGATATGACATCATAAAAATACATCTGAATCCTTCCCATAGTCCACTTGCAAATTAATCTCTTTGAAACCATGATAAATATCATCTCTCTATTCATGTCTGTCGGCACTTTTTGCAAAAATGTGGAAAGATGCCTTTGAATACAAACAATGTCTAAATAAGGCAAACATCTTGAATTTTCTTGCCCCACTCTGCAATAAGGGAGTTTACAGATAGCACATGGTACAAATGACCCCAAATATCCACAGATCTTTTACACATGGAGAAGTTCCACTTAGAGCATATTAGAATGATAACTGCCAACGTCCTAGATGTGCTTCATGAATACCTTTTTGCTTGCCCTCTTGAAAAGAATACTTCCACCTGCGTATCAAAGAATGTACCGTTGGTGCATAAATGAATAATGTTACATAACTTTCATGAGCGCATATCCAGTATTCATCTCTGTGGGGTTTTACCTTTTTGGTACAAATGACCTTTATCTGCCCATGCACAGATTGTATCTGTAAAAAACCTTATTGAGTACAACCTTCTGAATGTTCATTACTAAACTTTTCACATGAATGCTACAGCAAACAAGAATAAAACCAAAGCCAGGGGGGTGTTTCACAAAGATCCTAAGTTGAACTTATCTCTAAGTTGGACTTAAAAATTATGGAAAGCCATTAGCATCTTTGAAAATATTTTGTAAAAGTTATTTTGAAAGGCATTAATTGTTTATTCAAATCATTCATATTGTCTATCATCAAGGAGATTTCATGTTCTGGATGTGGAATTCATAAAAAGTCTAAAATACTTGAATTTCTGCTTTTGAATATATTTCATTTTAAGACTCCAATGGCTGTCAATAATTTTTAAGTCCAACTTAGAGTTAAGTTCTACTTAGGATCTTTGTGAAACACCCCCCTGGTATGCTTTTTCAAATATCACAATATCAAGAAAAAGACAGAGAGACAAATGAAGCAAATAAATTGAATCTATGATAACAATAGAAGAAAAACAAACACAATTTCATTTACATGATACTCTTTGATGTATCACAGCTACTACCCACCCCCCCCCCCCTAAAAAAAAAATTAATAAAGGTTCTATATGAAGGAAATAAACAATTTAAAAAATGATTTGGAATACACTTGCAATTGTCCAATAATTTGAAAATCATCCTTAACCAAAATATATCCAAAGTCTATGGACAAAAACAATAATACCTTATAAATACTGCAGGTTAACACCAAGTTTGAGTACAAACTGTGAAATTAATTTCAAATTTACAAAGCAACTGCAAACAGGTCCAACTCTGCAAAGAATCACATAATTTTCTCAGACTTGGAGTGATATAAAAACAAACTCAGAATATGATACATATTAATCACTTCAAATTACCCTTTCAAATCCTCAGCTCCTCTATGTTAATATTTCTAAAACAATTACATGAGGTTTAGAACATACACTGGTTACCAACGCGCTTAGCAAGCTGCCCCAGGCCTCTCTTCTCGTGAAGATACTGGACCTTGCTACGGAAGTCATCAATATTCACATAACATCCCTGGATAAGAGAAGAGCAAAGAAAATAAATATGGATCAAGTAGAAGTCAATATTTTCTCATAAACTGAAGGAAAAATGCATCCCTAAAGAGGGTATCTCACTAAGTGGCGAACGCTTGCGAACATAGCGAATTTGGGGTATGCCAGGGTTTGTAAAAGGTTGCAAGAAAGTTTGCAAACAGTTTTTCTTGTTGCAAAGAAATTTTGAACATTCAAAAAAGCGAACCCTGATTTTCGCCAACATTCGTCTGAAAAGTTGGCGAATCCAAATTCGCAACGTTCGCAAGCATTCGCCGCTCAGTGAGATACCCCCTTTATTATTGTAAAGCTGAGAACAAGCAAAATGAAAAGAAAAATCTTCTATATTTATTAGGTTTGAACAAAATGGATGGTTGATTTATCAGCAGATACAAAGTAGGGGGGGGGGGCACTTGTCATTGTTGTGATGTGCAGCCATTGTCTCATCTAAGCTGCGCAGTAATTGAGAAGCTAGTACACTCATCCATAGGAATCAAAATGTGATGATGGTCATGATTATTGAAGAGTTTTGAGATTTGGTGAAGTTATGTGTGATGGGTTATACAATACATGCTTCCCAGATACAACTGCTCGATGGTCAATGTGTTACACTAACCAAGGAGGTAGGCCTTGCTTTTTAAACTAAATACCTAACTTCAATCTTGGACCAAACATTTTATATTTAATACCGTAAACCTACCCTAAACCCACTTCCCACTCTAAGCAGAACAATTGTAGCTAGGGCAAATGTTATTTCGAGAACTGTGTGATGGAGTTTGTTTGTAAGGATAGGCATTCTTTATACATGAATTAATCATTATCAAACAATACCAGAGGCTGTTAGTAATCAGCACTATAAAGTATTCCAGCATTCCAGTATAGTTGGAACAAACACAAATCATGAACTTGTTTATAACTTTTGTCCAAGTAAAGCACACTATCTTCATTTTGTACTATGGGGGGGGGGGGGGGGGGGGGGGTCATGAGAACATTAAAAACCAAACACTGATGCAGAAGCTGATATGTACATGTATAATCAGATATATATGCATGCTAGGTACAGAAAACCCTTTGTGTACAATAGACTGATGGCATTCTAATCTTTAAGAGGGTATTTGCTAGTACACTGTACAATTTAAGAGAGGCAAGGTTCATGAAAGGGTAAAATCCCATGGCCCTTAGCAGCTGTAAAAACCTGACAAAGGCCAGGCAGGACACACCTGGTACAACACACTTAAGTGAGGGTTTCATATATAAATATTCTGATTAAATAAAATAAACATACTATTCGCTTTAATGATGAGTGCATCATATTTTTTTTTTTCTTTTCCTCAAACGCAGTCTTTATTTGCATAATTCCATAACTGAAAAAACTTTACAAGGGCATGACTGTCTTTGTACTGCACATGCAAATATGATTCTACCAGGGGCAGGGTGAGAGATTGGTAGGATGGGGATTCCCCATGGCATATTTGAGGAGCAGTTAGGCTGAAATAACAAAGAGCGCAATCCATTATTCTCTACCGTTGAGGCAAAACATGCAGACATGGCATGTACATGGAGGGAGAGAAAGAGAGAGGGAGAAAGAGAAGGGGGTGGGGGTAATGACCAAATCAAAGTTTTATGTGGAGTAGGTATCTTTTTAATTAAAACAATTTATGCACCTGTTAAAGTATAAGAGAGGTATAAGTTAAGTTGTTTGTGGTGTAATTTAACTGCAAACATGATATCCATATGTATTATGCAAAACAAGCATTTCAGCATTTCAGCATAGGAGAAAATTAAAAAAAAAGGTTTATACTATTCAGTTTACAGAATATATTTGATGTGATGACTGGTATATAAATGTATCTATGGGAGAAAAAAAGAGGAGAGAGAGGAGAGAGAGAGGAGAGAGAGGAGAGAGGGAGAGAGGAGAGAGGAGAGAGGGAGAGAGGAGAGACGGAGAGAGGAGAGAGTGGGAGAGAGAGAGGGAGAGAGATATAGAGATAGAGAGAGAGAGAGAGAGAGATATAGAGAGAGAAAGAGAGAGAGAGAGAGAGAGATAGATAGATAGAGACAGAGAGATAAAGAGACAGAGAGAGAGAGAGAGGGAGGGAGGGGGCTCTTTTCAACGACATCAATGAGCTGCGATCCTTCACACATCCAAGGATTGCATTAAACTGAACAAAGGCATGTTGTAAGAATGATGTGACAAAAATTTGTTTGACTGTAAAACCTCAAAACCACAAAACAAATATAAGTATCAATTTCAAGATGGGCCCTTTCTGAGTGGTAGCGACTTGGAACATATTCACACAAAATGCAAGCCCTAATTTAGTGGACCAGACCATGTAATTGGATATTAATAGAACTGCAAAAAAATGATAGCAATTTGATTTTTTACCAGAGCATTTCACAATACCGAGTAACATCTCTACACAACTGATTATGATCATGACTTGCATTCATTTTTTGATGTTTAAAAAAAAAAAAAAAATATGACAGATTAATGTATAACAATATTAAAGATATATACAATCTACTTGATGGTCGCATAACGATTACAATGAAGAGAACATTTTCCTTCACATGCAAATCCAGATTTAATCATTAGATAATAACAGAATGATTGTAATGATCTCACACCAAAAAAACATTTTAAGCTTTCCATTCTCTTTTTATGTGGAAAACTAAAAGTTTATTTTTATTTTCATTTTCAAATGACATTGGTCGTCATGTAAGAAAATCAGTAGCGAGTACAAAAAGCTTGTTGGGCAATATCTCAAGAATTAACTAAGGTGCATGGAGATAATTTCGATATTCTTTTACAACTGCTACCTATAAAAACATTTTTCTTTAAAAAATAACATTTTGATAATAATACTTGTATAATAACACATTCAGCTTGAAGCAACAGGTAGCAAGCCTGTAAAGAAGACAACCAAATTGTTTATTTCACATATTACATACCTTTAGATGTCTAACGCCACCATTCTGCTGGAATTGCATTCTACCATGGAATATTCTCCTGTTGTTAAAGATAACACAATCTCCTTGCTGCAACCTATAGGAAACCTGGCATAAGATAATCAGAAGATATGATTTTAGTCAACATAATTGCAGCTACTTTACATTCGGAAAACACAATCGCAAGGACTTTCAAGAAATTAAGTCAAGGGCAATTCTGATACCCTATTGAATATATCCCATAGAAATCATGATCAGGGACCCGTTTCACAAAGCATTTTTTAAATGACAAATGACAAAAATGAGTGACAAATCTGCTGATATCCAATCAGAAGCAATGATTTCATTAGCTTATAACAAAAACTGTCATTTGTCACTGATGAAAAGTTTTGTGAAACACCCTCCAGATTCTAATGCATCATTGTAATGTTTGCACATTTTCAAAAAGTGATAGAAAGAAAGTTATTGATAGTGCTGTGGGATAACTTTTTTTTGAAAGTCTTTGTAATCGTGTTAGAAATGCTTGTTGAATTGTACAGTTAACAGCTATTGGGGCACCCCAGGAACAAAATATAAAAATTGCAAGTTTCAGTTGAATACAGATGATGAAATATTACAATTTTGAGGTCATGACACTGTTGGAGGAATGGTAGTGGGAAAGACAGATTGAAAGAGAGGCAGAAAATTCAAAGTAGGTGAAAATAAAAACATCTAACAAACAGATTTTGGTGCGAATGAATATAAAGTTAAAATGATGACAAAAATACTTGAGAATAGTATCCATCATACTTTTTAAAGACCCGTCAAAACACTAAAATAGTCCTGGTGGTACTCATTCCTTATACAGAACTATTCAATGTTTTTTCCATTTTACTCTAGGTATTGTATGTGTGGCCAAAGATGAAAAAAAATATCACCTGGATTTCATTTTCCCTCATTAAATAACTATGTTACATTACTTGCTTTGTTGCAGTATTACAACTGAAAAATCAATTCATTCCACAAGGCACAAGCCATTAGGACAATTTAAATACAGCTGAAAAGCTTGAAATTAGAATGTAACAATAAATTATATCTCAGCATGGGTGCCCACTGAACACATCAGAGTCTTTTGTCAATTGCCAGCATGTAATAAGTACAGAATTGTTGATGTGAAATTATTGGCAGGTGTGATACCTACACCAAAATGAGCTTCACTCAACAGCTGCAGTCTGATGCATGCCTGCCAACGTTTGAAGATAAGAAATCTGTACCCATAATAGCGGGGTCTGGGGAGGCATACCGCAGCAGGGTCAAGGAGCAGCGCCCCTGCAGGGGTACAGGCATACATGTAAATGAATATTGAACAGGCGATCGCACAGCCTTACCATGGCCATGTATGCAGCAGCAATGTAACTGGCAATACACAGTAAATCTGTACCAAAAAGCGAATATAAATTTGGTGCTTGATCGTGCAGCCATTCAACGCTCACAACACGCCAACTCTCAAATCGCGGCACGTAGTAAAACAAGCCAAATTTGGCTATAAAAAAAATAATTGAAAAAAAGTATATTTAGTCATTTAGACTTTTGAAAAATCTGAATATTCTGATTAAAGATAAAGTTGAGTACTGGTAAAAAAAAGAAAATTATTTCTCACAGAATCAAACGAAACTTACACTGAATGTTCAAGATTACAAATAAATGACATGTGCCAAACGATTTTGGAAGAAAATGTATACTGGCTGAGTAATGAGCATAGAAAGACAAGGAATCAAGGTAGTACCAACCCCGACACAATGCGTGTTGTCCCATACATAGCTTTCTGTGTATGTGCTTGTTACTTTACCAAGACTCGGTCAAATTTATTATGATTTTGATGACTCCAGAACCTTGCAGTGCACACCAATACTTACATGCTACATGATCAACTGTTTCTGATCCTTTCCACACCTTTTCTTTCACAATGCAATCGCATTACCAGTACTAAAGTTTATCTTTAAATCAGAACAGTTGGCAGGTATGCTGATGTAGTATGTAAAGTTAATTTTGAGAGCAATGAGAAGCTTATTAAGGGGAATAAAGCCATAGTGCAATAATAAGACAGCACATACATTTACAATGATAAGAGAGGGGGGAACACAACATATACACTGCCTTCAATCACTTGAATCTTAATAATCCATCATAACTCAAATGTATTGATTAATGTAGATGCAGTACATGAGGAGGTATTTTTGTATTTTTTGTCATTTTTAATTCATTTGTTATCATTATTGTTTTGCTGCAGACCCTGGTTTGAGTTTTAACATGAATATGTGATCGCAAGTCATACCACCAAATACTAACTCACAACATCTTTTGGTCAAGTATGGCTAAACCCATAACATGTCAGATTTTAGAAGTATTAACAATCCTGACCTATGAAATGCTATTCTAGGTGAGCAATAATTCTTTCTCACGGTAAACTAAACAAAAATGATTCTGTCATCACCTTTCATAGAAAAAAAGATGCAGGCGTACCTGGGTACACCAATGACAATAGAAATTGGACACACATGGGTATTCCCCCTCTCCTCCACAGAGTTTGTTTACTTTGAGTGATGTAATCATCCAAACATGGAAGGGTGTGTGTGTGTGAAATTAAATTAATGGGATATTGGGATTAGTCTGCATTAATCATGTAAATTTGATTGAGTGTTTCATTCAATAACTCTCCCATACTTAATGCCAATAACTTTATATTAGTTAGTATGGAAATTTAAGATAAACAAACAAAACCTATGGTTGAGATTTCATCTTAAAAAAAATATCCAAGGTACTTGTCTGGCATTCTTACAGAAGCAAGCAAAATGGTAGGGGTCTAGGACCTGTATATACCACTTTTCTTCTCAATTTACTCAATGGTAAGATCAAAAATAATGCAAGATGACCAATCACCTCAATATTATTTGTTCTCAGATACTAAAGACAAAGAGAGCTTCATCAGAAATTACAGCTCATGCTTTTTTTGCACTCCTCTGCATAACTAGGAAGATAAATGGTGAATGATTGTACAGAAAAATTGACATAAGTACGTTCTAAAAGAAAGGAACAAAAAAACTCTGGGTTAAAAGAAAACATATAAGATGCACATGGAATTCAATTAGTCTTTTAAAACTTATTATAGAAGTAAAAAAGGAGTAGTTTTCAAAATCTCTATTGTAGAGCAAAAGAAAGTATACAGAAACTTACCACTTTATTTGATGTTTCTAACTGAGTACTAAATTCTCTATAGGCCTCATAATATGGTTCTACATCCTCCTGAAAAAAAATAAGAGAAATGAAAAGAAATTTCATGTTAGATTACAGATGGTCTGCAATCTGGATGATGGTATTTAAGAGTGAGCTAAAGAGAGACAAACGTATAGAGGCAGGGAGCTAGGGAAAGAGAGAGGGAGAGAGATCATGCTTGCACATTTTAATGTTGAGGATTAAGGAATGAAAAAAGAAAAAGGAATTATACAAATGAACAGAAATGCTTGAGTCACAGCGAGGGGCTTGGGCTTCAGATATGAAAATAGATAGAATTATACTCCAATGGATAGGGTATGACCATTCACCCATAGATGTATCATTTTAAGCACATTCCATATGTATGAATAATGTCAAAGTATTTCAGGGAAGCAGATCAGCATAGATTACTTTAAAAAATTAACATGAACACAGGGAGAGGCTATAATCCACTGACATAAAAGAGTGTAAGCGTGTGGAAACAATATGCAGAATAATAGCCATAGGAAGTAAACAATTAGCAAAGAGTATGTTAAATGGCTAAAACCTTGAATTATATGGCAAAGTGCAGATATTGTGCAGATCTGAGACTTAATTATCACCGGTCGACTAATCATGCACATAAAGGATGGCCAATGGTTGAATGAACACAGACAATGAAAACAAACATTTAAATTTTGTCAAGTCACACCATCAATCAATGTCAGTTCGACAAAAGAAGTTTAATGGAGGTACCAACAATAAGAATTGATACATTTGCAACAGAGGTAATAATCCACTTTGGTACGTCAATGTTTTTAGTATTGTAATGTAAAGTGTTATATGCATTTTTTTTTTTGGGGGGGGGGGGGAGGGGGGGGGGGTAAAAATGTACACAATTCAAGCTAGGCTGCGAGACAGATTTTGAATAATTATACAGTATTACAGTTAAAACAAATTAAATTAAATTATAATTTTTAAAAGCTTCTTTGTTCATGTTGCTCATTATTTCACACATGAAATGAACAATACATGATGAGAAGGGTGTTCATTGATAGCATTCTCACAGAAAGAGTTCCTGCTCTTCTAGCTGTCTGATAATAGCCACCAAAACTTTACATCTAATGTAACCATAGCAGCAACAACAAAATGTGATATACATTGATTTATAGCACCCCCACGTCCGCAACCTGGTGACTAGCCCGCGCACGCCAGCTATTTCCCACTCCTGACGACGGATAGTCAACCTGTTTGAAAGGTCAAGCCCCTCCTACTACCCATCCTCTATAACCGGAGCTATAGTTCTCTCTAGAAAGATTACTAACAGTCCTTTTCAGGACTACACAGTACACACACACTCAAGAAAGAAATATTACAGACAGTCCTTTCCAGGGCTCACCAATCCTCCCCCTCCCCCCCCCCCCCCCCCCCCTCTCTCTCTCTCTCTCTCTCTCACACATGGTGCAACTGTAAGCCTACTGATATCTGCATCACCATGCAAGCCGATATTTATAAGCAGCACATTGAGTTTTGTTGTAATCATTCTGTACATGTTCTGTATTTACCTCAGGTACGGCGAGGGGACCTTCAAATGGTGGGGACCATGTAACTGCAGTTATCTGAAATGAAATGAAATAAAGAAAAGAAAAAATAGTTGGTAATGTCACTTGTCAGCTAAGAACAAAGAGCAGAAATGTAACCTGGAATTCTTAAAAAAGCTGTTGGTGTTGGTCTTGAGGTCCATAGGTCTCATGAATCCTCAGAGGACTTGTTTTAGGAAGATGCCCAAAAGCGACAACGTCGGTCTTGTGTGCGGCAATGGTCCATGGGCTGTCATGATGCAGTAATTGACAAAGGTTAAACTTATCAAATGCTACCATAATGTACATTCATATGTTATAAAATAGCATGTTTAAATATTACCATCTAAAACAATCAAATGAATTGGGTGATTGTAGCACTTTAGGTCATGTTGAAGGACTATCAAAACTGGCCTCAACAAGGCTAGAAAATCTCATGAGCATGAATATAATGACCACATTTGGGACTTCTTGCACAGTGAAGTTCCCTTACTTTGTAAAAACGCTCACGTTATTGTACAAAATGTTTGTTTTCCAAAAAACTAGAAAAAATCAACGATAAAACAAATTCTTAAAGGACAAGTCCACTCGAAAAAAAAACTTACTTTCAATAAAAGCAGAAAAATCAGAAAAAACCAATCAAAAAAAGTTTTGAAAAAGTATGTAAAATTATGGAACAATGAGAATCACAACACAAATTGCCAAGATGGTTATCAGTTTGTGACGTCATGTCCTCACTATTTATCAATTGCTCTATAATTATGGTTTAATCCCATTAATTTCCCTTTTTATTCCCCAAAACTTGATTTCCCCATGCCTTTGCCCAGGTTATATGATTTGTATCATATTGCGTGCATGACATTTCACAAAATCTTTTATGAACTTTGAAGAATTTATACTATTTTCTGAATATTGTATATTCATAATTAGTGTATCAAAATTCACATTTTTCATGATTTAACTGGAAAAAAATACTCTTTATTAGTGCATCCACACAAAAACATATTACTATTAATCTAACTTGGATGCTGGTGTGAAGAAATAAGGACTTCTTGCACAGTGAAGTTCCCTTAGTTTGTAAAAACGCTCACGTTATTGTACAAAATGTTTGTTTTCCAAAAAACTAGAAAAAATCAACGATAAAACAAATTCTTAAAGGACAAGTCCACTCGAAAAAAAACTTACTTTCAATAAAAGCAGAAAAATCAGAAAAAACCAATCAAAAAAAGTTTTGAAAAAGTATGTAAAATTATGGAACAATGAGAATCACAACACAAATTGCCAAGATGGTTATCAGTTTGTGACGTCATGTCCTCACTATTTATCAATTGCTCTATAATTATGGTTTAATCCCATTAATTTCCCTTTTTATTCCCCAAAACTTGATTTCCCCATGCCTTTGCCCAGGTTATATGATTTGTATCATATTGCGTGCATGACATTTCACAAAATCTTTTATGAACTTTGAAGAATTTATACTATTTTCTGAATATTGTATATTCATAATTAGTGTATCAAAATTCACATTTTTCATGATTTAACTGGAAAAAAATACTCTTTATTAGTGCATCCACACAAAAACATATTACTATTAATCTAACTTGGATGCTGGTGTGAAGAAATAAGATTCTTAAGGAGAAAATAGGAAATTTATATCATCAATATAAAGAAAATAATTAGTGGATAGTGAAGACATGACGTCACAGACTCATGAGTGGGTTGCCAATTTGTCTAGTGATTTTCAAAAAGTTTTTAACGTCATTATAAATTCATAACTTCTTATTAGTTATCCAATCTTGCTCAGACTTTTTTTGATTGGTTAGTCTGATTTTTCTGCTTGAACTATTGAAAGTAATTTATTTTTGGAGTGGACTTGGGCTTTAACATACAATCCTGAAATCAAGTTGGATTTGACTTTTTCTTCTTCTACAGTACACATGTAAAGTAGTTGTGTTTAAAACACACAACTCTTTATGCCATAACCCCTGTTGCCCTTGGGGTCCATTTCAAAGGTTTATTATCAATGGCTACATACAAGACAACGTGATGGAATTTATGGATGTACAGAGATGAGGCCGTTAAATAAGTTTGTATTATTCATGTATGAAGCTGGATAAACTGCCTTCCAAGACGGGAGGATAGCATGATCTGCCATTTTGTGGTTAGACCTTTCAATGGCATCAAGACTGGCTGGAAACTGTATTCAGAATAACATCTTCTTCAATGAATTTGAAGAATGATACTTATTTTGAGAAGAAAATCTGGATGAACTATGAAACATCCCCAACATGGGAAGAGTCCTCAAACAGACCCCGATAAAGCATTTACTTTAATAACAGTTTATAGCTTCAAGAGAAACTATCCACAAGCAGTAAAACAAATTAAAACAAATGGATTCTCTCAAAATGGAATTATCAATACTATATTGATAAATGGTTATATCAAGGGTTCAGATTTATTGTTAAATATCAATAAATATATATTTATTTATCTCATTCGCAGAAAAATCCTTTTTGTTATATACTCTTCTGTGACATGTACATTGCATATTACATGTATTTACACAGTATATCTCTAGATTTACTGGACTTTATTATCTTATTTGAGATCACAGAAAAAATAATCAGGTCTAATTTTAGACAGCATCTTATCAATTCCAAGAAGCTATTGTGTGCATCCCCCAGAATCTTGCACATTCAAACGTTATCTCATTTACTCTTGAAATAAAATTTATTGATAATTCTGTTTGAGTGCCCCCTCTGTAAGACAAGAAACAAAGGTCAATATTCATCAAGAGTAAATGCAAAAGACCAGTTAGGCCTTGTACAAATATTTCTAGAAATTGTGTGTTTTTGAGGATAATAAACATTCAAGTTAGGGAGATTTTACACTGTTTAAAAAAATGTTAACTTCTTCTTATTACACATCAACAAACCCATGTTTCTTGCCACATAAATAAAACATGTTTACTGGGGATTCCCAGTGACCTAATTTGCATGCCTAATCAATTTCCTCTGACCTCGCACTAAAACCTTTCTTCGGCTCATTTATACAGTTCAAGGCTACAACAGGCTATCCTATTTTAAAAACTCCCACCATAATCAGTTTTACTACTATATTTTAATGAAAACAACCATGCCTGTGAATAATTGTAAGTTCACAAATATGTGCAGTTTTGACATTAAATATAATCTGTGGCAACAAATCAGTGGTCTTACATAGATATACATATATCTTTTTGGTCTTTATCTATCAACTCCATTGTTTAGCCAGTAATAATCAATTATTTTTATGGGATAAATCGTGATACCATTTTTTGTGATTTAAATGGAATCATTCATGAATGCTCCACACAAAATTATAGAAAACATACATTATGATACAAATTCTCATCTTTTATTCTACAATATAAAAGAAATTGAACCATCATATTGATATTCCCCATAGGAATTTAACAAAAATCTTTATGGGGTAAAACATGTACAAGTGATTAATCTAACATTATCAGCTAATTGACTGTGGTGCAAAAGTACAGTGCCGGGTCTGCTGTCCATAATTTTTTCCCAGTTTAAGTTCTATATTATGAAAAGCTTTACATAATATGTGTACACTTTTTGAACAAGGTTTTGTATATTTCTTTCTTCTTTCTTTTTGAGATATTAGCAACAACCCAGACAGACTCATTGTTTAAATTAGAAAGTAGAAAATTCAAGCTGTTCTTCACTCATGATCTACCACAGTAATTTTCATTTCAAAAATAGCTTTTTATATATATGTATATCTCATATCATCCACTTGCAGTTTGTCTTATTTATTTTTTGTTTAATCTGATTGCTCAGTGATTTGCTGGCTCCTACATAAATTAGAGAATACTACAGTAAAATTTCCCAAGCCTTGACTGATTATAAACAAGCTTCCTTTGTGTTCAGATCCAAATAAGTAATTAAATGGGGACTTTCAAATACAATTGATCTAACTTTAAAGTTCATTTCACACGATGCATCACTTCATACTGCAAAGTTTCTTTGTGATTATTGGAGCTTGTATGAGAACTGATATTAACAGATAACACATATATCTGGGGAAAACCCTAGATTATCAAATTAGCTCTCTCAATTTGGGACACAAACAGCAATAATAAATATGAGTAGAATACAATAGCACAATGCCAAATGCAAAGTAAAAGTTCAGTGTCTGTTTCCCTGTTAACCTATACTTCTTATTTATTTATGTTTATATTTTATTTTAGTCTGTTTTGTTTTGTTTTTATTTTATCAGCTGAATTCCACTCACATTAGAGGGAGGGGGGGGGGGATAGGGAGAGGAGGAGCATTGAATAAATCATGTTAGCTTCTAGGAATCTAGGCCATCAGTTTGGAATTCCCCATGCAGGTCTGAAGAGGCAGGAAATGATAAACAAGAGGTGCCTAGATGAAGTATCCTTGTGCTCATTTGTGAAAAAACAGAACATGTTTACAAAAACAGGATAAAAACAGCAACAAAAAAAACAGCAATCAAGGGAAGACTGTAATTAATGTCCCCATTTCAAAACAAAAATAATTGGCCCCCACTCTTTTACCTTGGCCACTTAATTAAAGATAAAGTTGAGTTATGATCATGCGATTGCATTGTGAAAGAAACATTGTGGAATCGATCAGAAAAGGTTGATCATCAAGCATAAGTATTGGTATGTACTGCAAGGTTCTGGAATTATCAAAATTATAAGAAATTCGGCCCAGTCTTGGTAAAGTTACAAGCACTTTTCAAATGGCTAGTTATCTACTTCATGTTTCAGTTTTCGTACCAAAGTTTCAATGACCAATGGCACGTTTGGCCAATTAAAAAAAAAAATGAAACCACAACTTGATGTGCATTTTCTTTTACAAAGAACAAGAATAGTTAGTAATTTCCATTAACTTCAAAGAATAGAATAAATGACATTAAAACATATGTAACAGAAACCTCAATGCTGTGTAACTTAGACTTTGATCCCTCATTATGAAATGGAATCGTGGAGAAAGAAAAAGAATATATGTAAT